GCTGCTCAGCTCGGGCTGGACTCGAACCGCTGTTGCTCAGAGCTCAAACTCTTGAGCGAGCTCTTAACCAACTGAGCCACTCGGCCGGCCCCCTGCAGTGTTTTTCTTACATGCTTGCACAAGTTAGTACTCAGAAGACTTTTCTTCAGATCTCCAAGACTCTGTATCAGTATATCTCTTATCCTGTAAATTCTAGTTATCATGGCTTCCTTAAAATCCAATTCTGGGGAGCATTTTCTCAATCGTTGAGATTTTGCTTCCCTGCAATTGTTGTCAGTTTGACTCAGATAAACTCTTATAAGCGTTCAAAAACAAACAAACAAAAATCCAATTCTGTCACCTCATCTTACTTAACATGTCAGCTAGGCTCTGGTTTGGTCTCTTTTTATGCTGTGGGTCGGAAACTCTCTGAGCAGAACGCAGAGCAGTAAGCTGTGATAATCATACGCGTACCTCATTTGTTTTCCTAGTCTGAAGTATCCCTTCTGCACTGCTTGTTGTCTAAAATATAAAAACCATTTCATATAGTTTGTATGGTTTTTTAGATATCTTATATGAAGGGGAAAATCAGTTCCTTTTTCTCTATTATAACCAGATTTGAAAGTCCTTATGAAACCTCTTGTTCAAAATGCAGAAATTGACCACTTTAGAATTTAATGTTATGTAGGCTTATGATTTAGGTATTTAAGGAGAGTGATCCATTATGAGTGTAATAAAATGTTTTTTGTTGTCACTTAATTTAACCCAAAATAATTTCTAGTGAGCAACCTCAATGTGCCACTTCTAAAGCTGTACATGTCTTCACATTCTGAAAGAGTGAAACCTGTGCAGCTAACTCAAGTTCTAAATTATTTCCCATTTACAGGGTACTGCTTTACAAAACCAGAACTGATCTTCACGTTGGAACAAGGTGGAGATCCATGGTTATTAGAGAAAGAATTTCTAAGCAGAAGCTCCCCAGGTAAGTTACTGAATATAAGTAAGGGTAGAAGGCCTCCAAGAAAGTTATATCCAAGTGACCAGCTAGAAGTGAGCAGTTTGAAATGATTTTTAGCATTCTCCTTTTAGAGGTCTTTACATTTGAAATTTTAGAAAGAATAGGTCTAAAGTGGAAGGTGGACTGCTAACAAAGGGAATGGATTGTAAGCATATTGATATTCTCATCTTTAAAAGATAGGAGCCAAGTATACCATTTGAAGCGAAAAAATGAATCATGGATGTATTATATATTTAACAGTAAAAAGATAAAAACTAAGAAAAGTCAATAAAGCTAAAATTGGGAGTGAACAGATCAGAAGAAAGGAACCATTGGTTTTATCATATAATAATGAATTACTTGATACCAAATAAATAAATACATGATTAAGAAATTACATAATGTTATTAGGAAGGACAACTATTAGAGCAAACTGCAACCTTCCTAATTATTAGAATTTAAATACATTTAACAGCAAAGAAAACAGACCTGTTACTAGAAAAGTTTTCTATAAAGCTCTATCAAGGTTAACCAGGACCACCACCAGGTTCATTGATTCTCTAGGAGGGCTCAGCATATAGTCATACTCATAGCTAAGATTTCTGCAGTGAAATGATTCAAGGCAAAATCAGCAAAGAGACAAGGTGCATGGGATGAAACCCAGAAGAAACCAGGTGTAAGCTTCCAGGACCCCAGCAATGAATTGTGACAATAACACATGTGAAATGTCTGTCAGGAAAGTTCTTTAGGTACTAGGTCCCATCTCAAAATCTATGTTCCCAGATGCCAACCAAGGGCTAATCTTGCAAGCAAGCCTTTCTAAGGGTAGCAGTCTCAGGCCTGTTGTGTTAATTATTTTCTGCACAAAAGCTATATAAACGCACTATATACCATAGAGTAAAACAAACATACCCACCATATCAACTCATGTAAATGGATTACATTCACCTATTAAGAGAAACTGCTATCAAATTGTATCGAAGGGATATACCTAAAAAAATTTTAAAGTTCAAACTTTAAATGAACTGTTAAGGCGATAAACATAAAAATAACTCCATATTTATGTAACTAGTACTTAAGGTTCAACTCAAGTCAAAAAGGACATTCTAATAATGTGAAAAGATAATTTTTAAAGGATATATAAAAGTTTTGAATATTAGTATACCAAATAAATTATCATCAAGAGTCATAAAACAAAAAGCTGCAAGAGTTGTAAGGAGAAATAGGAACACATTCGATATTATAGGCCATAATATGTCTCTCTGATTTTATACTATACCTAGTGGACTCTAGAATAGTGTTCAGCAAATGGTCAAATTTTGCCTGCTATTGTTCTAGTAAAGAAACATTTACTGGAACACAACCATATCCATTTGTTCATGTATTCATACTACAAAGCAGAGTTGAGTAGTTGCAATAGAGACTGTATGACCAGCAAAGCCTAAAACATTTACTCTCTGGCCTTTTACATAAAAAGTTTACCAACCTCTGGTCTAGAAATTATAAATATCATATTTTATCAAATGAAACTGTTATGTGTCTTTCAAAACTATTCTGAAAACAAAGAATAAACCTTTTAAATGACCTTGGAACATTGACAAAACGTAAATGTATTTTAGGCAAACGTCAGTAAGTTCCACAAAGTAGAGATATTATTGTTCAATAGCACTATAAATTACAAACAATATGAGAAAAATTAAAATCCCTCTATCTTAAAACTAGTAATAAGTATATATCTTTTAAAAACACTTATCAAAGAGTAAATCAATATTATACAAAATCCAGAAATATTTTTAAATGGAAAACATACTTATTAGAACCTCTGGGCTATAGCTAAAACAGTGCTTAGAGGAAAATTTTTAATCTCATGTACTTATTTTAAAAAGCAACAAATTTTAAAAAGAAACCTAAGTGAAGCAAAAGACATAATAAAGATAAACCAATAATGGTAAAAATTATAAAACTAAAAGGTAGTTCTCAGAATAAAACTATTTAATTAAAATAACTAACCTCAGCTAGAAAAAAGAACGAAAGCACTATTACTCATACTAAGTTTTGCTTCAGATTCCTACTTATGTAATATACCCTTGGAATATTTTCGCTTATACTTTATCTCTTCCTTTTGTAAACTCATTTTTTTAAAAAAGATTTTATTGGGGAATTGGGAAAGGGGAACAGTGTTCGGGAATTGGGGAAGGGGAACAGCCAAGTTGTTGTCCTTCAATCCTAGTTGTGGAGGGCACAGCTAGCTCAGCTCCAAGTCCAGTCGCCATCCGGCTGCCCGTCGGCAACTTGCGGCCACTCAGCTCAAGGTGCCATGTTCAGTCTTAGTTGTGTGTGGGGAGGGGGGAGGTGAGCAGCCCACCATCCCATGCGGGAGTCAAACTGGTAACCTTGTTGTTAGGAGCACGTGCTCTCATCAGTTGAGCCATCCTGCCACCTCTTGACAGTTTAGCTCAGGCACAGCTCACTGGTCCACGTGGGAATCGAACCGGCGACCCTGTTGATCAGAGCTCGCGCTTTTAACCAACTGAGCCACTCAACGGGCCCCCCCTTTTGTAAATTCTTAACCCACTAGAGTGTGTCAAAAGAAAATGAGACTCTGTGCGAGATAGCATACAGTTACTGAATGAACACCTTTCCTCAACTGGATTATAATCTCAAAAAAAAGTAGTCTTTGTTTTACTCTTCCTTATGCGGATGTGTATTTAATAACATTGTAGATTGATTCCAAAGCCAAGTGGAGAGAGGTATTTCATATTGATTCATTCAGAAAACACTACATCCACAAATGCAAATGCCAAAGTCAAATTTCTGAGATTTTTGAGTCATCAGGTGTAGGTCAGCATTGGATCTGAGCCCTTGTGCTCAGTGACAGAGCTTGCTAGGTAATTCTGAGGCACACTGCTTGTTATGGACCACTGACTTAATTTTTATTATAGAAGTGTACAAAGACTATCACAGTGAGGGTTTTATTTTGGAAAGGTGAGCAAAGCTGTGTAACGTATAGTTTATGAGTGTATTGTATAAGGTGCTGTTGATTAAAAGGTGAACCATTAGCTAGGTACAACTAAGAAAGAGTTGTCCATTGAACTATGGACTAGCCATCAATTTTAAGATACCTCCTGATTTTCGACATGGTAATTACTTTAAAAATCATGAGTCATATATGGGTGCTCTCCATGTATCACTTGTTAAAATGAATGATTCAGGCAGTAACTTCTTTCAGATTTAAAAAAAAATGTTGCTGAAATTCATGAGAAGATATTAGAATCCTTTGTTTGCTTAATAAGATTTGGGAGAATAGTTTTGCCCTGCCTGAAGGAGCATCTAGAGTCTAAATAGTTCTAAAGCTAGAATGGAGGATAATTTAGGGAAAGAATGTGAGTATACAGTTATTACTGGAAATGAATCATTTAATGGGGACTAATAATAATCCTGTCAAGATTAGGGCAGAAGATACTGTGGACTAATAGAATAGTAGCTAGAACATGTAATGAGCATGTAGTTAGTGTAAAACTTGTTTTTCCTGAATCACATCACTTAAATCTTTAATCTGCTTGTACCTAGGTCAGTGTATTCAAAGCCTTCAAATATTTTTAGCATAGGCCTGACATTTTTTGCATGGAATGTGGTAGCAGCAGCAGTCAACCATGCACAAGAGACTTATGGTAAATAAGTATAAAGAATACTTGTAAAAGTTCTAGGGCCAGTTTGAAACCTGTGATCCTTAAAGTTCTCACAGTCTATAAAAACTAGATAGATATGTTAAAAAGTAGATGAAAAAAACAGAATTAAGGATTGAACAGGGACTGGTTGGGGAGAAATGAGGGAGCAAATTAAAAAGAGGGAAGTTGGAGCCGGCCGAGTGACTCTGTTAAGAGCGCAAGCTCTGAGCAACAGGGTCGCTGGTTTGATTCCCACATAGGCCAGTGAGCTGCGCCTGAGCTGAGCTGCAGCTGAGCTGCAGCTGAGCTTCCAACAGGCAGCAGGATGGCTCAGCTGGTGAGAGCACAAGCTCCTAACAACAAGGTTGCCAGTTCGACTCCCACATGGGATGGCGGGCTATGCCCACCCTCAACTAAGATTGAACACGGCACCTTGAGCTGAGCAGCTGCGAGCTGTCCCGACAGGCAGCCGGATGGCAACTGAACTTGGAACTGAGCTAGCCGCGCCCTCAACAACTAAAATTGAAGGACAACTTGGCTGTTCCCTTTCCCCAATTCTCCAACACTGTTCCACTTTCCCAATTCCCCAATAAAGTCTTTTAAATAAAAAATAGAAAAGAAAAAAAGAAAAGAGGAAAGTTAAGGTTTGATAGTCAAGAGACATTCCCTATTGAACAACCCTGATATAATACTAAGGTCAGAACCAGGATATAGTGGTGATTCCAATATAGGTGGAAAAATTACTGTAACTCTCATCAGTGTTTTTCACTTCCACTAATACATTTATGTTTCTGTGACTTATACTACAGAGAGAATTAAAGAGTGGCCAGTAGAATTATTTCATTCAACACGAGAAAGTTGGTGCCACTATAAATTTATTTTAGTGTCGATGTGTAGAATGGGAAAAATGGAACTCTAACTGTAATCACGTACACTAATAATTATCCTACCATTGTAATGTATATTTTACTAAGATCTAGGCTCTGTACTCTCCCTTAATGCAAACTCTATCTCCGATAAATCCAATGAAAGCCATTCTTCATTGATTTTTAAAAATTTACTTAACTACCACTATCATTGTTGAATTCATTTCACTCTCTGCTTTTTCTGTTCCAAGGATCCAACTTTCTTAAATTTATTGTCCACTCTCAGTTGTTCCTTTCCTTTATATCTTCTTTTCTACCCAGTTTTGAAAATTATACCTTAAGATGCCAAATACATATATATGTGTATTCATTTCTACTTTCCTCTCTTTTTCCACTACAAAAACTTTATTTTTAACAAATAAACAAACAAAAGAGTGAATATACACTTGGGATTACTTTATTGTTGGGAAACTGAGCCAGAAACCAAGTGGTCAAATACATAATAAGGCTTATGTATGTAAGTCCCATTGCATGAGAAGTATATTAAATATCATAAAGTATTTTTAATGTTCTCATTTTTTAGAAGAATCCCAACTTGATGAACTCTCAGAGAAGAGCCCAGAAAACCAAGGCAAACATTTGTGGCAAGTTTTATTCACCAAAAAGTCATTGATTACAAAGCAAGGAAGTTCAGGAAAACCATGTAACTTAAACATAAACATTTTTCCTGCAAGAACAATGCCATATAGATATGATGCTACAGCGCCTACTTACTTGCATCTCAGCTCGTTGACCCCACATTGTCAATATTCAAGAAAGAAGGCTCATGAGCTTAATGTATGTGATAAATGGCTCCTTGGTATTAAGGATGACAGAACTAATACTGGACAGAAATCTGTTGTTTACAGTACAAACGTAAAAGCCTTTGGTCATAAAGAGGAAGTTATTCAGCATCAGACAGTTCAGACTTTACAGCAAGCTTTTAAATATAATGAATGTGGGAAAGCTTTCCTTGAAAAGAGTGCCCTAATTACATCTAATAGCACCAACCTAAAAGTGAAATCTTATCAACTTAATAAATTTGGGGAAAATCAATGTGATAAATTAACCCCTGTGGTCTCTCAGAGCAGTCATCCAGAAAAGAGTCACTATGCGTTTAATGGATATGAATGTACTGAAAACAGAAATAAATTCAATAGGATCACTCAGAGAACTGACATAAAAGGGAAATCTTTCAGCCCAAAATCACATATTAGAGAACATCAGAAAATTCAGATAGGTGTGAGACCCTTTGAATATGGAAAGAATTTCAGCCATAATTCTGCCCTCTTGGTGCTTCAGAGAACTGACACAACAGACAGATCCTCTGATTATGACACATGGATAGACACATTGAGTTACCAGTCAGCTTTCAACATACACCATAGAACTCACATAACAGTGAAACCCTATGAGTGTAATGAATGTGGGAAATCCTGCTCTGTGAAGTCATGCCTGATTCAGCCTCAGAAAAGTCACACAGGGGAGAAACGCTATGAATGTCTTGAATGTGGAAAAGCTTTCAGTGAGAAATCACGCCTAAGAAAACATGAGAGAACTCACACAGGAGAGAAACCTTATAAATGTGATGGGTGTGAGAAAGCTTTCAGTGCAAAGTCAGGCCTAAGAATACATCAGAGAACTCACACAGGGGAAAAACCCTTTCAATGTAATGAGTGTGGGAAATCTTTCAATTATAAGTCAATCCTTATAGTACATCAGAGAACTCACACAGGAGAGAAACCCTTTGAATGTAATGAATGTGGAAAATCTTTCAGCCATATGTCAGGCCTAAGGAATCATCGGAGAACTCACACAGGTGAAAGACCATATAAATGTGATGAATGTGGGAAGGCTTTCAAACTGAAGTCAGGTCTAAGAAAACATCTTAGAACTCACACAGGAGAGAAGCCCTATAAATGTAATCAATGTGGGAAAGCTTTTGGTCAGAAATCACAACTCAGAGGACATCATAGAATCCACACAGGGGAGAAACCCTATAAATGTAATCATTGTGGGGAAGCTTTCAGCCAGAAGTCAAACCTTAGAGTACATCATAGAACTCACACTGGGGAAAAACCCTATAAATGTGATGACTGTGGAAAAACTTTCAGGCAGAAATCAAATCTCAGAGGACACCAGAGAACTCACACAGGTGAGAAACCCTATGAATGTAATGAATGTGGAAAAGCTTTCAGCGAGAAGTCAGTCCTAAGAAAACATCAGAGAACTCACACAGGAGAGAAACCCTATAATTGTAACCACTGTGGAGAAGCTTTCAGCCAGAAATCAAACCTCAGGGTACATCAGAGAACTCACACAGGGGAGAAGCCCTATAAATGTGATACATGTGGGAAAACTTTCAGCCAAAAATCAACCCTTAGAGAACATCAGAAAGCCCATATAGGGAATTAAACATGAATGTAAAGAATATGGAAAAACTCTGAGCCAGAAGTCAAATCTAACAATACAAAAGAGAACACAAGAAGAGACTCCAGGAATATAATGAACACTTGAAAGTACCTCTGCAAAATACACCTTCATTAAACGTCAGAGAACTTACACAGGAGACAAATTCTTGGAATATATTTTATATGGCTAGTCTTTCGTCCAGAGTACAGACTTCACTGTAGATCACAGAACTCACCCAACAAAAAAAAAACTATAAGGATAATGAATATAAGAGATATTCAGGGCACTCAATCCTCAGAAAACTCACAATGCAGGAAAACTCTGGGAATGTAATAAAAATATGAAAACTTTGTGCCAGCAGTCAAAACTCATTCATCAATGGAGAAATCATACAGTGAGAAAACTGAGAATGTAATAAATGTTTGATAACCTTTAGCCAAAAACCAGCTTTCTTAGAACAGCAAAAAAGTACATAGAGTGTAGAGCCCTCATACTATATCAACACAGACAAGAAATGAGGTAATGGATGTGGGAAATCCTTCTATAGTAAGTCATCCCTCAATTTGACTTACACAGGGGTAATCCTCTATATGTCAGTCATAGAATGACTATTAATTGTTCACCAATAACCATTTCCTCTTCTCCCTCATGCCACACCTAGTCTAAATTTCTGAACCACTCTATCATCCCAATGGGGTCATGTTATTAACCTCTGGCTAGTGGAATGTGGGGGTCAATGACAAGTCTCATTAGATACAGCCCTCAAATTCAGTGTTTTCTCCTATCCCTTACCAGAATGGAGTGGTAATTACCCTCAGTGAAACTGTGGGGCTCATGCACTGAAGAATACACGATGGAAGAAACACAAAGAGTGACTGTGGAATAGTATTCTCTCCATTTACACAATTAGACTTTTTGTAAGGACAAAATAAACTTGTTCTCTGCTGAGCTCCTATAGGTTTGGGTATACTTAACAGTGACATATGTTTGCCAACCCTCAATTAACAAAGCCTATGAGTATGATTTCTGTGAACCTCAGAACTCAATATATTTTGGAAACATCTCATAGGAGAAACTCATGACAATATATTATATGAGCATGGTTTTTATCCACAACTCTTCTTCATAAGTCAGGTAATATCAGGAGGATAAATCCAACATTTCAACATATGTGGGAAATCATTTTCCAAAAAATGGTATCATTAAATATCTGATAATTGAGTTGTGAATATGTGAAAGTTTTCAACAAGTCATCAAACTTTAATATCTCTCAGAGTGTATTACAAGAGGGGAAATCTATTAATTTGAGAAAAGGAGGTAATAGCCTTTACCTAGAAATTCTATATCAAAACTATTATTTCATATGTAATATTAAAACATTTAATGATATATAACAATATTAACTTGTAGATATTCACTAGAATAAGAAGCTTTAAAAGAACAAGAAATAAATTCCATAAACTGAACAGCATTGAAGTATGTGACTATTTTCTGAGTTCTCTACTGTTTATCTGTGTGAGTTTATATACATGCATGCCACTTAAGACATATTTTATATTTGTATTGAAACTCAACATTGTAATGGAATTATGTACCCCTTATGTAGTAGTAACTATGCTGACATCAACTACAATTTGCCACATGTATATTAATAACAAATAAACCTTTCATACAAAGCATCTGAAAATCCAGAATCATACCACATTCTCTTTCTCATGCTGCCTTCTGACATGAGCATATACAAAAAGCCAATTAAATGGTCTCTTCAAAAAAAAACTGAACAGAGCCCGCGAGCCCGCATCATGGATGTCGAGCTCTCCTATTTCGTTTTGCTCGCCCTGGAATTTGAGACCCCAGACGAGGACCAGGATTCATGAACCGGTCGCAGGGGCCCGGGCAGGGGCCTCTGACTCCCGATGCTAGCCGAGAGGTGATGAGTGAGGTCGGAATATCGGAAGATTTTAAAGGCAGCTGGGGCCTCTGTATTGAATGAAAGACCCAGTGCAAAGGCATCACCATGAACACTAGCATTCCTTATCAGCAGAATCCTTACAATCCCCAAGACAGCTCCAATGTCATCCAGTGCTACCGATATGGAGACACCTGCAAAGGGGAAGTGGTTCGTGTCCACAATAACCACTTTCACATCAGGTGCTTCACCTGTCAAGCAGGTTGCCTGGGATCATTTGCATGGTGGTCTCAGAGTTCAAGTACAACAAGAGAGCAAGCTTCAGTAAGGAAGACCTTTTCAAGCCTCAGCTTGTGTCATACTTGTTAATGTCCCATTGGTGAAAACAAGTCAAATGGCCAACCTAGATTCAAGATCATGGAGAAATAAACTACCGTTTGTGGGAGGATCTGCAGCATCAGAATTCACGGGTGCGAATGCAGAGAGGGGAAAGGTTTGACCATTTTGACAGCCTACCACAGGGAGGTTGTAGAACCTTTTTTAATGGAGGTTTTAAGGGGGAAAAAAGACTTTTTTTCAATGTCAACTTGTTTAGCGATAAAACATGAAAGGATTTTGTTTCCAAGGATTAGTTACCCTAAATAGCCTTGTCATTTGAAAAATCTAAAATCTCAGTGAATTTCTTGTACAACTCTTTTAACATGCACTACTGTGCTGACATGAAAGGAAGGCATCGGAAGAGGTGAAAAACAAAAATAAAAGCGGAAACCCTGCTGTGACTGTCAATGTCAGATTTAATCCTGATGGTTTATGCTAACTCTTAAAGACCTTGACCTTCTACCTTGATGGCTATATGGATCATGGAGAGCAGGAGGCAGAGCCTGGAGCCTGGGCCAAGTGGGACTCTAACAGGAGGCCTCTGAATAAAGCTGAGATCCCCCCACACACACACACAAAAACAAACAACAACAAAAAACTGAACAATTAAGGGCCAGCTGAGTGGCTCAGTTGGTTAAGAGTTGGCTTAAGAGCGTGAGCTCTGAGCAACAGGGCCGGCGGTTCAATTCCCACATGGGCCAATGATGCTGCGCCCAAGCTGAGCTGTTGCTGAGCTGCCAAAAGGTGGCAGGATGGCTCAGCTGGTATAAGATTGCCTGTTCGATGGTGGGCTATGCCCACCCACAACTAAGACTGAACTCGGTACGTTGAGCTGAGCTGCCACCCAGATGGCTCAGTAGATAGAGCTTGCGCTCTTAACAACAAGACTACTGGATCGACTCCATATGGAATGGTGGCTACGCCTACCCACAACTAAGATTTGAATAGAACACCTTCTTGACCTTAGAGTCCATGAGATGCCAATGGGAAGCCAGATGGCGACTGGCACCCTCCACAACGAAAACTGAAGAACAACAGCTTGGCTAGTCCCCTTCCCCAATTCCCCAACATTGTTCCCCTCCCCCAATTCCCAATAAAAATCTTATAAAAAAAACAACAATTAAAACATACATTTAAGCGCACACACACACACACACACACACACACACACACACACGGTGCCAAAAAATGTATAGGCACTTTAAGAAAGGAAAATATTAAAATTGTAATGCTCTATACCCATAACAAAAGATGAATACAAGTCACGTTTGACTTCTGCAATTACAAGAGGAGCTCAAAGTAGCTACCATCAGCATCCCAGCATCCAGACACTTCTGATTACGGTGAACTAATGCTTGAGCAACGTTGACCAAAGTGTCCACTTGTATACATTATTTTGGCACCCTGGTGTGTGTATATATATATATATATATATATCAAGAATCAGTGTCATTGATTCTTTCCTCAGAGGTATCAAGTATACTGATGAGCCCTTTGAAGACATTATTTATGGTATGGTAAAACCTTGGTTTGTGAGCATAATTTGTTCTGGAAACATGCTTGTAATCCAAAGCACTTGTATATCAAAGCAAATTTCCCATAAGAAACAATGGAAACTCAGATGGTTTGTTTCACAACCCAAAAATATTCATATAAAAATGATTACAATACTGTAATATACAAAAGAAAATACAAAATATAAAGGAAAATAAATTAACCTGCACTTACCTTTGAAAACCTTCGTGGCTGGTATGAGGGAGACAAGAGAGAGGAGGGTTATCGTGTAGGACTCACTATCACTAACAGAATCACTGCTCTCTATTGGCTCAATGGAGCCTTTTTCTTTTTGCAACTTTAACAAGGAACCTATCCAATGACCCTTGCTTTTGCCTCCTTTTGAGGATTTCGCAGAAATGTGACATCGCATTGTCATTAAACACATTCATCGCTCGCACTGCTACAGCCTTATTCAGGTGGTGCTTTTCTACAAAATTTTGCAGTTTCCCACATTTTACACATCTCCCTAATCTTATTTGAAATGAGGGATTCCTCTACCTTTTTCTCCTCCTCCTCTGCAGATAAGATCTCTATAACCTCCAAGCATGGGAGATGATCACCCAGAATCCTCTGTGAGAGAGAGAGAAGAACCATTGGCTCAATTGTGATCATGTGACATTCGGCGTCATGTACTACTTGTATTACAAGACATCGCTCGTTTATTAAGTTAAAATTTATTAGAAATGTTTGCTCGCCTTGCAGAACGCTCACAGAACAAATTACAATCCAGGGTTTTACTGTACTCTTATTTCTTGCTTTTTAAAGTTTATTATACTGTCCATCTCTGCTGAAATAACCTATCTGGTCTTACATGTTGCCTGTTTTTCCCAGTAGAGTCATTTTACAAGGCATTTGGCATTCTCTGTCTCACTTAACCAACTGCTTGGGTCCTTGTTTCTCCCTCAGCCACCTAGCTTTCCAGATTTTTGGTTAGTTGTTTTGCCTTGCAATCTCATATTTGATGCATTCAAGCGAAGTTAACTAAAGTCTGCAAGCTGTTTTCTTGTCTTATGGAGAGCAGCAATGGTCTCTCCTGCTCTCTGCTTATCTGAGCTATAACTGAAAGTGTCAGTTGATTTTTTTTTCAAAGAAATTTTATTGGGGAGCTGTGTTTTTCCAGGACCCATCAGCCCCAAGTCAAGTCAAGTAATTGTCTTCAATCTAGTTGTGGAGGACACAGCTCCTTGGCCCATGTAAGAATCCAACTGGCAACACTGGTGTTTTGAGCCTATGCTCTAACCACCTGAGCTAACTGGCCGCCCTGTCAGTTGATTTTTTTTTTTTTTTTTTAGCTGAGCCATCCTGCCACGTTGGCAGCTCAGCAGCAGCTCAGCTCGGGCCGTGAATTGAACTGGTGACCCTGTTGCTCAGAGCGCACACTCTTGAGTGAGCTCTTAACCAGCTGAGCCACTCGGCCGGCCCCGTCAATTGATTTTTAACAAATGTTCCAAGGTAATTTAATGGGAAAAGGAGGACTGTTTTCAAAAATTGTGATAAAATAACTGGATATTCATATAGTTAAAATGTACCTTTATGTTCATACCATAATTATATATTTGTTCAAAGTACGTCATAGACCTAAACAAAATAGCTAACAGTACAAAATTTGTTAGAAAACATAGAAGAAACTAATTGTACTTTTTGTGGTACACAGAGATTTTTAAGATGTAACAGAAAACATGAAACATAAAAGCAAAAATAACTTGTAATTTATTAAAATGTAAAGTGTCTACTTTTTAAGATTTTATAATCGAAATGAAAAAAATCACAGATTGGGAGAAAATGTCTCTAATAGATATATCTGACAAAGGACTTGCACCCACAATATGTAAAACCTATTCATGATGCTATAATAATACAGACAACCCAGTTAAAATGGGCAAAATAGGAAATAGATTAAAATACACATTTCACAAAAGAAGATCTATAGATGGCCAATAAATTGGAAAGGTTGGAAATAAGGTGGCCAATAACTAGAAAAGATTCCAAAGCTTTAGTCATCAAGTAAGTGAAAAACAAAACTGTAATATTAATAACATCACAAGTCCATTTGATAGCTATGTACCTACAACCAACAATTTCAATTCTAGTTATTTACTACCAGAGAAACAAAGAATTGTACCAAAAAATTTTAATAAAATAATTTTTTTAATTGTACCAAAATGTCATAGAATTTTATTAATAGTAGTCCCAAGTAGAAAGAACCAAAATGTCCATCTACAGATAAATGTATGAACTGTGATATTAATGGACTACCACTCAGCAATAAAAAAGGAAGTGCTAATGCATGTAACAGCATTGATCAATCTCAATAAGATTATGCTGAGCAAAAGAAAATAGACACAAGAGAGTAGAGCTGCCTGATTCCATTTATATGAAATTCTAGGAAAGACATCTAATCTAGAGTGACTGGAAGCAGACCATTGGTTGCCTACGGGTGGGTGTGAGGACTAGTTGGGTAGGGGACCAGAACAAGGGAATGTGTTATTGTGATGGAATATTCTATAGAGTGTGGCATTTACAAAGCTGTATACGTTTTCACATGAAACTATACCAAAAATGTGTATATCATAAAGTAAACTTCAAAACAGTTTATTTTAAAAATTATGAAAGTGAATTTTGGAACCCCAGTATACTATGAGACCCAGAGTCTGAATTTGCCAAGTGGCTTACTGCCTTAATTACTTGGGTATTTATTCCCTTTCTCCTCCTGTATGGCTATGTGACCTTGGGGATATCAGTTTTCATTTATGTTCCATAGTTTCCTCATTTGTGAAAGCAGATAATGATGATAATTACTACAATCCTTTTTGGAGGCGTTTTCTGAGTTAATCT